CTTTAAGGGACAGTGGTGTCAGTGTTGAGATAGTACGCATAACAATTTGTAATATGAATCATAATTTAATGTTTATAAATAATTGCATTTGAATTATTAAAGATTAATGATATATATTAATTTATTGTGTTATTTAATTTACAATGTTTTGACCGTTTTCAAGTTCACTACAAATTTCAGAATCACCAAGTTAATGGAAAGCAGTATTTCATTTATGCTTAAACTTGGACATTACACTTGACATTAGGGTTGAGGTTTTGATTAATACCACTGTGCCATAACACCAACTCACTGAGCAATGAGCCGCATCATCATCATCCCTGCTACATAGCTCCAGCTTCCACGTGGCCTGCTCCAGTTCGTCCCACTTCTGTCTCCTGCCGACTTAACGGTGTCTCTCCACTCCCGCTTCTCGCACCTGGCTGCGGTTACCTGTGCTTGTGGCTGTTATCGGTGTCAGCTTCTGTCGAGGGCGGCGTGTCGTCACCGCGACTCCGTGATATCTTGTGCCCACGGTGAGGTGGACAGGTTACGAGTAGCTTGTGGTTTCGGACTGCCACGGGTGACTTGCAGTTGTCTGCGCCGAGCTGTTAGAATGTAACGTGGGCAGTGCGTCTGCAATTATCTGTGTCACGGCATTAACCAATTATTTTGTGAGATCGCACTGCGAGAATGGGAGTAAAATATGTAGTAATAGACACAAATTACCGTGTTTTTTTTATTATTTATTTAATTATTTTCAAGCAATTATTAGCATTTCAAAGAAATTGATTTAGACGGAGTTTCTCTAAAAATTTGAGTAAATTTAAATAAGAAACATGGGAGTTCACAAATTGATGTTGCGCAACATGTTCCCATCAGCATTTGTCTTCATTTGTCAACATTTTCTAGTGTCTTTCCATCAGTTTAATTTAAGTTTTTCATTACACCTTACATAATTAGACAAATTATTTGACATGGCCATGTTCTACTCAATTTCATTTTAATTTAACAGGTATTTCACTGACTCGACTGTCGCATTCCTAATTGTTTGAAATAAACTATTTAGCTTTATTATGTAGTCATACTTCTAATGATTCCCTGATTTTTACTCTAGGTTGAACTGGTTTATTTATATACTTGTCTAAATACAAGCTTTTATAAACGTTTTGTAAATATTACCATCCCCGTTTATTTTAGTTTCTTAAAATCGTTTGCGTTTCTAAAGAACTGCTTTCGTTTCCAGTTGACGAAAGAAAGATTTCCATCGGTGTAGATTTTATTTATTTCTATAGTCTTGCAATTGGTAATATAAACCTTAACTGAACGTAATGAGTGTGTGGGTAAATGCCGCACGATTCACATGAATGAGTGGGTACTACTGACATTGAGAGACCTGTTCTCCATCTCCGCCGGCACTCCTCCACCGAACAGCTGTCGTCGAACTGGTTTCTGAACTCCCGAGCAGATGTTTCTTTCGCCGATCGGAATCGTACTGAAATTGGTTCAGATTTTGTGGCGTTCAGGTAGTACTTCAGGAGGAGGGGTACATATATATGTATATCTCCTCCCCTTCCTTTGGATACGTCCTGGCCAGCTAGTATATTTTGGTGTCTGACCTCGATGGCAAGAGTGCGTGATGTGGACTAATTTCGGTGGGCGGGGTCCATATGCGTGTGTGCCTATTGAACTTTTTGGGCCTTTGTTTTTGTTTAGCCGGAAGTTATTAGTTTCCAATTTCCCCCTCGAGAGGTGTTAGGGGTTTGTCTATGCCTCCCCAATGGGTTAATTAACTGAGCGGAAGTGGGGTTATTAAGCTGTAAACAAATATTAAAATACAAATTCCTCAGAAGTAAAGTAATTTTCAGAAGACGATAGATTGAAGTTCAATATCTTTACTGTTGTAACTTGACACCTCTTAAATCGCGTGTTTTAAGAAGTTTTTTTTGTTGTTGGGTTTCCTAACCCTATTACTTTTTTACTTGTTGTGTGAGTCATTCAAAGGCATGAGTTTATTATTGTTTGCCATATTTCTGGTTCTTGGCTCGTCGCTTCTGTTGTCCCAAGCAAAGACCAGTGGCAAATATTTAAGCACCTCGTGCTGAGTCACACCTACCTCAGAAGTGCATAATTGTGACCTTAGATGTCGGCAAGTGCATCATCAACATCATCATGGCTGCAAATTGCCCGTTTAAGTGGAAAATAGCGCGGTGGAAAACTAAACATATTCTGCAAACTTTGCTCCGAGGCGCTTGATTAGCTTGAGATGTGCCGCCGTTGAAATCGCAGTTTCTGACTTTGCTTTGCTTTTTCTTTGCTTTGTTTGCTCAAAAAGCCGGCTTCTCAACCGGTTTCGTTTTTTCTGTTTTTTTTTCTGTTCGTAAAAAAGCTTAAAGTTTTGGAAACGAAGCAATAAATGAAAACAAAAACACCTGCTACCTTTGCTGCAGGGGAAACTGGCAACGATTTAAGATAAATTACAGGTGCGATTGATAGAGTTGCAAAAATATACATATATGGAAACAAATGCATTTCATTTACTAAACAGTAAAATGTTAAGCTAAGCTTATAATTATATAGTTATAATATATAAAAAAACCGTATTGTTTGAAATGATTTTCTGTCCCATAAATTATATTTGCTTTCCGGAAACAACCATAAAGAACAACAGCTGAAAAATGTAATTCAAGATACTCAATTCTCATCTGCTCTCCTTACTTTTCTTTTATATATAGAAACAAATGAATTTCATTTACTAAACAGTAAAATGTTAAGCTAAGCTTATAATTATATAGTTATAATATATAAAAAAACCGTATTGTTTGAAATGATTTTCTGTCCCATAAATTATATTTGCTCTCCGGAAACAACCATAAAGAACAACAGCTGCAAAATTTAACTCAAGATACGCAATTCTCATCTTCTCTCCTTACTTTTCTCTTGCTTTTTTGCACATTTATCGAATGTTTCCGTATGGCCGGCATATGTTGAATATTGTATATATATTTTCAGGCACAGAAATGCACATGAGCACTGTTGGATACAGTCAGTTTTGAAAATATCAGACATTTACACTTAAAAAAGGATATAGTAACATAATATAGCGTTCCTCTTAAGTTCTCCAAGTTAGCTGCTCTCCAATATGTGTTTCCTGTATGGGTTACAAAAGAAATATTACAAATCATAATAGCTTAAAATAAAAAGATATTATTGTTAAATCCTTAAAGTTCTCAAACTGTTTCAACGTTTAATAAATTGCCAGAAGCCCCATTTCTTATTAAACATTAATTGTTTGGGAGGAAAAACTCATACATTTAAATTAGAATGTGAAACTTCCTGTGTGACACCCATATTCCCCACACAATTGCAACCTTAAAAAGAAAATAATTGATCAATTTTTTTGTTTAGCCCCTAAGTAACGCCTCAGAGTCACTTGACAAAGCGGCAAACACAAATTTGTTAGAATTTTTAGTGCGTGTGACATGACACTGTCCACTGGCCACTCCGTTGTTAAATAAATAATTGGGTTTCATTTAAAAAATTAATATGTTTCTGACAGCTGGTGAATTGGGGGACTCCTCCCCTTTAAAATTTAAAGTTTTTCTTAATTCTATCCTATATTTAAGATACATTTTGCATACAATAGTTTTTATCCAAGTAGACAGGGAAAAAGTGTTATCTTTTTCTTATTTATTTCGGGTTTTGATTACTATAGAATTATTATTTATATAGTAATAATTAATTATTGTTATCGAGTACTATTTGACCCTTAATTATTTTAAATGAGATCTCTAAATCTGGCTTTTTGTCCATGTAGCTAAAAATCCTTTCCCAAATATGTCCTAGCATCTCACCTGCAAAAGCATCCCAGAACACATATTGTTTTATGTGTGACAAGTTGCAAGTTAGGAAAACTTTTAATATCTTTGGACAAATTGCAGGCTCACGCCCCAAGAATTGCATTGAAATTACAGGCTGCAGGAGGGCGTGTTGAAATTTGTCAACACCTTTTGCCAACAGGAACTCTGGGTGGAACTGGGGGGCATGGGCATGACATTCCAAGCGGCGTGGTTGTGCATAAAATAGAATATGAAATCGTTGCTATTGCAACAGTGACGGCATCAACAAACGCAGGGAGGCTGGGCTGGGGATGGGGATGGAGAGCCTGCAAAGTGTCAACGAACGATTTTTGCCTGGTCGCCTTTTGTTTACGTTTGGTGGCAGTGGGTGGAAGTATGGTATGGTAGTGAATCTCGGCCCGGCTTGTGAGCAGCATAGAAATGAATACAGCCTTTGTGCTGGGAGTCCAGAACCAGGGAGTCACTGATCCATGGCACTCAATTGTCAAACAACCGAGACCGGAACAATAGCCAAACTGTTGACATGGATATGAGGGCCGGACCCTCCGCCTATGCACTTCCGTTGCGGATGTTCTGACCATAAGCCGTAGCCATGGGTTTAATGATCAACTAAAGTTTTAAAAATAAAGATCAAATGTTAAAATAATATAAAATAATATTTTATATAATAATATCAAATGTTATCATATTAAAAAAAATATATTTACTATTAACAGAAATGATCCGCTGTCTATAATGATTATAAACATAAGTCAGGACATGTTGAAACCGTATAATGGAAGCCCTTTAGATGTTTGAACTCTAAATAATTGAAAATATTTAGTTTTTACATAAAGAACCTACATATATTCCTTGCTTATTGTACTATGGGTGAATCAACATCGTATAGATATAAATTAAATGTAATTGCAGTATATAGAGTTTAATATGAAATATCTTTTAGAGTTATCAATAAACAAATTGATAAGAGATCGAGGATGTGCGTTCACTAGTTTTCCGTGAGACTCAAGTGATCGCTTTTGTAATAAAACAATTAAGAAATCGTAATGTAAAAGTCCAATTTTACTATACTTCAAAATCAACATTTGAGTTCCTTACTAATGTTTACATTTAATTATTATAAAAAGTACTTACATAATTGTTTTCCATTCCCTCTTTCAGCTTTGACCAGCCAGAGCTCAACTGCCAATTCCCCAGATGCCGACCAGAAAGGTCCTGTCTTCCTTAAGGAACCGACCAACCGCATTGACTTCTCAAACTCAACGGGCGCCGAGATCGAATGCAAATCCAGCGGAAACCCCATGCCAGAGATTATTTGGATCCGGAGCGATGGCACCGCCGTGGGAGACGTTCCCGGTCTGCGTCAGATCTCATCCGATGGCAAGCTGGTCTTCCCGCCATTCCGTGCCGAGGATTACCGCCAGGAAGTGCACGCCCAGGTCTATGCCTGTCTGGCCCGTAACCAGTTTGGATCCATCATTTCCCGGGATGTGCATGTGCGAGCCGGTAAGTTGAGAGTTTTCAGAGGTAAATCGAGGGCAGTGCAAGCCAAGTCATAGGGGAGCTTTTTCAATTTGAAATCTTAAAGAACTATCGAGTAAAATATAAAGAAGAGTGAACTTGTAACGAAAATGTTTATTTCCCTTTGTCGAAACGTTTCAATTATTAAAGTAATGTTATATTAAAAAACCAATTTGTAAACGTATATAGTAAATTTGTAAATGTATGTAAATTTGTAATTTGTAAAACGAACTCCAGAACTTGCACTGCCCTACATTTACACATTTTCTTTCAGCTACACCCAATCGAAGGCCCATCATCGTTGGTTTCGTAAATCCTTCGCCAAATCGTCGTTGATTTCATAGCTGCCATAGCTTCCGGCGAACTCTGCGTGTCAAGTCACTGTCTGCTTGACCTCTCGTGTTTGACTTATTGTTGCACCGGCGAAGGCAATTAAAAAAGAGTTTTTCATGTGATTTCCATCGGACGCTTTGCGCATTGCCAAAGTTTTCCGCACGCTTTCATTTTCGCACACATATCTTAGTGGCGTTTTGCAAGTTTTAGTGGAATTTTAATGCAAGTTGGCATTTCACTTTAATCGGTTTGTTGGCGCCGTTTCACTTCCTCTGCCTCTCTGGGTTTGGCGGCAACTGTACTTGCCATTTACCAGTTACTCCACCGACAACCCTTGACAGCTCCCGCGATGTGTCGTCGCCTCTGGAAGATGTGCAAACTGCAAGCTCCGCTGACGACGAGGATGGTGATGGTGATGTTGAAGGAGAAGGTGATGGTGATGATGCAATTGTCACCTTATTAGGAGCACACCGTATGGGGTTGACACGCCGCCAGCTTATCGAGTTATAGGCCAGACTCTACTCCCTTGGCTATCAGTCACTTCCGCTTGCATGAAGCAGGGCCTAAATAGGCCAGACCTGGCTGAACACATTTTAACTAATTATGCTGGAGCCAAACCACCCGCTTACTCATCGCCGGCTGACGTGTTCCCTGGCAATTAGCCAGCACACCTAGCCGCCCAACAGCCACCTCTCGACCTCTTCCTCGCTGCCCCACAAGCCTGACATCATTATTGTCGTTTGCTTTCGCTTACTATTAACCGGGGGAATTTATCATTTTATAGTATGCTCATGTGTGAATAAAGCGCAGACGAGAAAAACCATAGTCTGCTGTCCAGCCGCCTGGAGCTAGTTGGCTGAAATGAGTTATGGTCTACACCCTGAGCCACACACACACACACAGACCGGTAGAAAATATTTTGGTTAATTGAAATTAACTTTGGCTGTCAGCCAGCGACGTGTCGTGGTCTTTCCTTTAATGATTTTCCAACCAGAAGGTGGCAATAAAGCAAGACGCTTCCAGGAACCAAGCTCCTCATAACTTTCAAGGCTAAATCGGATGTTTGGGTACAGGGGTACCGTGAGAATGTGACCCAACTAATCGGCAATGATTGCGCTCTTCCCAGTGGTTGCCCAGTACTACGAGGCGGATGTGAACAAGGAGCACGTAATCCGGGGCAACTCGGCGGTCATCAAGTGCCTGATACCCTCGTTCGTGGCCGATTTCGTTGAGGTGGTATCCTGGCACGCCGACGAGGAGGAGACCTACTTTCCGGGGACGGAATACGGTGCGATTCAAGCTATCCGAAGCATAGTCTAGTAGAAGCATGCAGGGGTTCCGTGGACATCATTGCAAATCCTTCCACTCCATTCCATACTTCAATCATTCCCTATTTTAAGCCAACTCACGTTTAATTTAATTTCTCCTACTTGTATAGTCGTTTCTCAACACTACGAAGAGGATATACACAAAGCGTTTGTCATCCGCGGCAATTCCGCCATCTTGAAATGTGATATACCGTCATTCGTAGCCGATTTCGTGAATGTTATATCCTGGCATAGCGATCAGCAAGAGAGTTTCTATCCAGGCACTGAATATGGTGTGTGATTAAGTGCACAGAATTGCCTTCTCTGTGTGTGAGCTTATAGAAAAATAGCACTACTTTAACCACTACTGTACCACACTACAAAAGTCAAACTCACAGAAACACTCGTGTACAGTGCAAGTACAGTTAACAGGCGAAATGCCACACTAATTACAATTCTGTAAAATACACACAAAACCTCAACTCAAATGTAACCGAATTAACCAACACTGGTTAGGTAGAAACTGGAACAGTTGGAAAAACCTTCGCTCCTTCGTCTTAGCATCCTCGATCCTTCAGAGTGTTTCGCTCCCCGAATTAATTTTTCTTACCTTATCTTGGGTTTATTATTTACTCACATTTATTTGGTTGCTGATGTTGCTGTTTTAGTCGTTGCCCAATACTACGACACGGATGTAAATAAGGCCTATGTAATACGCGGCAATGCGGCAGTTCTGAAATGCGAAATCCCCTCCTTTGTGGCCGATTTTGTGAGCGTTGTCTCCTGGCACACCGACCAGAATGAAGACTTCCTGCCGGGCACCGAACACGGTTTGTTTTGTTTGATAGCTTTTTTGGTTACACTTTGGCCCAGCTTTATTTAGTCGGGCTTTGTACAGTTGCGTGATGTACACGAATTATGGATAAGTACCTACCCATTTCCCCCTTGCATCTTTTATGTTTACCTTTTTTAATGCATTTATGTATCTTCGCTATCTCGGATGGGTTCGTGTTGATGAGCCATGTTATCAGAAGCATTATTAACCTCTTGGCCAGAGACTTTCTCAGGGAAGCAGAACTCTAGCCCTTCAAGCCGATTGCGCTTTGGACTCCCATTACGACGTCGAGGGGCACTCTGCTGTTAGAAGACACTCTCGTTTCAATTAGCTCGCTGCACATTTTCTCACGCCCGCCGCACGCTAGCTGTGGGCCTTGGTTCTCTAGGCTACCTCGTTCCCTACTCCTATCCACTTTCATTATATAATCAGTCGCTGTGTGAACTCACCTCCAGTTGTGCAACAGTTCTACGAATCGGAGGTCAACAACGAGTACGTCATAAGGGGCAATGCGGCGGTGCTGAAGTGCTCGATTCCATCGTTCGTGGCTGACTTTGTCCAGGTCGTATCCTGGCAGGACGAAGAGGGTCAGCTGTATGGCACACTTGGCGAACAACAGGGAGCGGGTACACAACATTAATGGTTATAGAGGATAATCCCGGACCCCATCCCAACACCTTCATTATTCCCATTTTGCGCAATCACAGTTATTTTCAGTTTCTCCTAAACATAAACATTTTTACAGTCGTGAATCAGTATTACGAGGCGGAGGTTGTTTCCGAGTATGTTATCAAAGGCAATACGGCGGTATTAAAGTGCACTATTCCCAGTTTTGTGGCCGATTTCCTACGCGTCGAAGCCTGGGTGGCCAGCGACGGCACTGAATATGTTCCAGAGGATAATTTCGGTATAGTTAGCTCTGGAAGAAACACTAAAACTGATAGTCTTAAGCAGGACTCCAAAAAGCCACTCCTTTTCCCCATTGTCTAGCTTTCGCTTACTATTCATTTCACTGCTTTGTTATTTTCTGAATTAGTTGTTAATCAGTACTACGGCGCCGACATCCTGATGGAGTATGTGATCCGGGGCAATGCGGCGGTTCTTAAGTGTTCGATACCATCTTTTGTGGCCGATTTTGTGCGTGTCGAGTCCTGGATAGATGAGCAGGGAACTGAATTGCGACCCTCTGAGAATTATGGTATTAACAAAAGTGTAAAGGATAACTTTTTAGGCAACTACTTGTGGGTGTTTTACTCCTCTCCATTCCTCCCCTTATCATTTCTATATTCCTTTTTTCATTATGCACCTTTGCAGTTGTCAATCAGTTCTATGAAGCAGAGATCATGACCGAATATGTGATTCGTGGTAATGCGGCTGTCCTTAAGTGCTCCATTCCATCGTTTGTGGCCGATTTTGTTCGCGTAGAGTCGTGGATCGACGATGAGGGCAATGTCTTGTCCTTCTCAGACAATTACGGTGCGATAGTCAATAGTTTGCATCATCAGATTAGTTTACGGTCCCATTCCATTCCCAGCATTTTCCAGCACTTCCCTCTCTTCCGATATCCTTTTATTTATGATTTCCTTCGATTCCACAGTCGTTTCACAGTTCTACATAACCGAGGCCGAGAATGAATATGTGATTAAGGGCAACGCGGCGGTGGTCAAATGTAAAATTCCATCCTTTGTGGCCGATTTCGTTCAGGTCGAGGCTTGGGTGGACGATGAGGGGACCGAATTGTGGCGCAATAATGCCACCAGCGCCTATGGTACAGTCTTAAATGTAGTCTCTTTCTCTCATAAGTGTTTCAATGGGCTCTTAGATTCCACCTGTCCATGTCCTCAGCTCCCTCTATTATTACTCTACTTCTTAAGTTCATGATTATGTTCCCTTGGCTTTAGTTGTCATACAGAGCTACGAATCGGAGGCAGACAATGAGTACGTCATTAGGGGCAACTCCGTGGTGATGAAATGCGAGATTCCCTCGTATGTGGCAGACTTTGTGTTCGTCGATCTCTGGCTGGACTCGGAGGGTCGCAACTACTATCCCAATAATGCCGACGAGACGGGTACTAACGCTCACTTTTCCTCAGACGTCCAAACCTCAACCCGCTCCAGTGATCATGTTACACTCTTATTTAGTTTTACTTTCACCAAATTCCCTTTGATTTCCTTCAGTTGTCCACCAGTTCTACCAGACTCGGGTAATCGACGAGTTCGTCCTTCGTGGCAACTCAGCCACTCTGAAGTGCCTGGTGCCGTCGTTCGTGGCCGATTTTATCGACGTTGAGGGTGGATTGATGAGGCAGGCACTGAGATACAGAGGCCCCTTCCCGACGACTCCATGGGTAACCCTTACGATAATCGCATTACCCCGCTTAGAAATCGAAACCCCATCACCTCCAAGACCCCTATTAGTCCTTATTTTGTGTCTCCCGCTTCTCGTCTTGCAGTGGTAAAGCAGTTCTTTGAGTCTCAAGTCTACGACGAATACGTGATCAAGGGTAATGCGGCCATTTTCAAGTGCCAGACGCCCTCCTTTGTGGCGGATCACATAGACATAACGGATTGGATTGATACCGAGGGCGAGGTCTTCACCAAGAACATAACTGGTAGGACGCCGAGACTTGTAGACTTGAATTAGGCAGTTAGCTTAGCCACATGAAGGGTGTTCCTCCCACCGGCGTCACTCTTACTCTCTTATGATTTTATCCCGCACTCCACACTCAATCAATCTCTCCGTACACTTTGCAGTTGTGCCTCAATCTTACACCGTCAATGTCATGGACGAGTCCATACTCAGGGGCAATAGCGCCATCCTAAAGTGCCACATACCCAGTTTCGTGGCCGATTTCATAGTGGTCGATTCGTGGGTGGAGGACGAGGAGCGAGTTATCTATCCCCAGGAGGATATCGCAACCAGCGGTAAATTACTAGATAAGAGCTCTCAGCCCACTCCTTCTTGTCAATATCCTCCGCCTCCTATCCAATTCGGTTCGACTTGGTCTCTAAAAAGCCTCCTCCAACGAGAGGTGTTCCACGTGCAGCGCTGCTTAGGCTTTCAATTTATTATTATGTTTTCTGTCTTTCCTTCCTTCCGTCTATTCTTTTTCGTTTTCTTTTTTATTTTTCCCTCCCAACCTGTTATTCTTTTCCCCCTCCAAAACATCCATGAGTCGCTCCTGACTTGCCCAAGAGAATCCCGAACCCCTTCATGTAGTTGAACGTAGCGTTGTCTTGTAGTCTAGTGTAAATACATGCAAAAATGCTAATAAACGAACAATCTAACCAAATCTGTACATACATTTAATTAAAAATCAAAACATTGCTGTATATATATACCTCGAATGTATATGTAATCTATAATCCGCATATCATCTAAAATTATTGGCATTTTTGTTGGTGCATGGCTAAAATAAGAAGCAATGTCTGGGAATTTGAGGATTATTGTATTCCGAGTAAAGCCAATAAACAATTCTGTTTGTAAATTTACTATTTCCCTAAGCAAAACGTAAATACATTTCAATCACTTTAGACCTCTTTGATTTGTTTAGACCTCAAATTCCTGACACTGCTGGTGTATAGTTAATATGTAAGCAAAGGGAAATCTGTTTAAATTGAATCGATATTTAAATAAAAATAAAAACAAACAAAGATAAAGACATTTAAACAGAGTTCCTTAAATCGTATAAGGGGCTTAAGAAGGTAATGTTTGGTTAAACTCAATTGTAAGATATTATTAATTTGCTCAATCATTCAAAATTTACATTTTTACAAATGAAACTTAACCTTCTTAAGTCGTAAATCTGCATTTGATAAGTCACATATAATAAATTTACTAATACAAAACAATTGCACATTTGGATTGAAATATTTGCAATGAGAACTAACCTAAAACTCTTTAAAACTGGAATGTGTATGTGACTGTCAAATGCATTTAGTTAAAAAATCAAATTAAACTAACCGAGTTTAATTGGGTTTCTAATTTAAGATGTTAGATTTTTATAGGTCATCTGATAAACAATTACTAATATCTCTTTTATTCTATTTAATTTTGATTCTTCCTGAACCGTTTTGAAATCAGACGGTAAATATCTCGTACTGCCTTCTGGAGAGCTGCACATCCGTGAAGTTGGACCCGAGGATGGATACAAGAGCTATCAATGCCGAACCAAGCATCGATTGACAGGAGAGACGAGATTGAGTGCCACAAAGGGACGATTGGTCATCACAGGTAAGTCCGCCTTGTTGGCCAATTTTAAATTATGAGAAAAAACAAAAGAAAGTTTCAAATGTACAATTATAACATTTCAAATAACTATTCTTTAAATTTATTTTGGTTAAAGATTTATATATTTTCAGTGTACTTTAAAAGTCAATTCACATCTGAAGCTTTCTTATGCCAGAGTAAACTTCAAAAAATCTTACAAAATCTTACAAATTCATATCGAAAATATTCAAGTACTTTAAATAGAGCGTTTTTTGAAGTTTATTTGCGGATACTTTGACTGGAAAGGAACAAATCAGACATTGAAATACTTTCAATAATGGTTTGTATAATTTCCAGTCTGCTTAACAAATGTTTGAAATATGAAAAATATATATTTTAAAAGATATGGCAGTTCAATTATGAACACATTAAAATTTTAAAGACACCATTAAGCCCTAAAACTATTACAACTAAATAATAATATTTCAAGCATTTGTTTGCGTCATTTTGGAAATTTCTTTCGGATGTGTTTACTTTATTTTACAACATCCTTTGCAGTTTCCAAATGACTTTTATAAATACTTTTTAAACAAGCAACAAGTCTTTGAGGCCATTTGAATGCAATCAAAACGATTTTTCGCTTAAAATCTCTTTCTTTGCGTACTTAAATATATTACAAATAATTAATAATTTGTGTATATGAATAGAAATTTAGTTAAAATTTAAAAAACAGCTAATCTATTTTTCTTAAACCAAAGACTTGTTGCTGTAGCCTATGTCTAAATTGAAAACTGCCTGAATGTTGGGATAGGGTACTCGACAATGATGAGAGCTTGAAATAAAGCCATATAGAGTAGGTGTGGTCCGTTTTTTACTAAAGCCATTAAATATCTAAATATGTTATACAAAAGTAAGTCAAAAATTAAGTTCAAACCTTGGCAATTTTCACTTAGCGTTCTTGTTAAAATTCCGCCCAAGGTAAGTCACACTTTTAGTTCATGTTGCATTTATATTTATTGGCCATGTATAGTTTTTAACTCTCAATAATCTCACTTCATTCACAGAACCAGTTGGCAGGGTTTCGCCCAAGTTTCCAAACACGCTGACCAGCAGCAGTTTCACAGGAGAGGCCGGCTCTAGCCAGACCCTTCTCTGTCCCGCCCAGGCCTATCCAGCTCCCTTATTTAGGTAGGAAAGTGGATGCACCCCAGACCAACTTTGGCCAGTTTCCGATTATATCTCAGTATACTCACTCTGTTAGTTTCACATTCTCCTCTTTGAATCTCTTTAAGAACCCATCGCTAGTGTTGGGCCCAGACTTCTCTCTGGGAATGATATTAAGGTAGTTCAGTTTGCCGCTGGCCAAGCCACCACCCTGTTATGTCCTGCCCAGTCATATCCAGTGCCAGTTTTTAGGTAAGATATTCGACTATCCCAACTGCAGGATTACCCGTCTGAGGAGTATTCCTTACGTCATGTTTTCTCCCACTTGCCAGAACCTGTTGGAAGCGTTGGCCCACGTCTTACCAGCGGAGATGAGTCACGAATTCTCAGGGTGAACCTGGCGGCAAGTGCCACCCTTCTTTGCCCGGCTCAGGCATATCCGGTGCCATTTTTTAGGTAAACTAGCCCCAACGTCCAGGCAACTCTTAGATAGTAATTGAAACTAACTCCACGAAAACCCCTTTGAAATGCAGAACCAGTGGGCAGTGTGAGTCCCAAGGTGACAGCCGGCAATGATGCCATACAGATACCCAAGGTATCCCTTGGCCACAGTGCCACCCTCATGTGTCCAGCTCAGGCGTACCCGGTGCCCTTCTTTAGGTAATCCCAACCCAACATTAAGGCGAGCAAGTTGCTCCATGTCCCTTAACTTTGTTTTATCGACCACAGAACCCGTTGGCAGTGTCAGTCCGCAGCTAAACGGCAATGGCAACCAGGAGCTCATAACCCTGACTCGGGTTCCCGCTTTGCAAAGTGTCACACTCATGTGTCCGGCACAGGCCTATCCGGTTCCCTTCTTTAGGTAAAGATCCCACTTTGTATGACAGGCATTCAGGCAGGATTTAGAATTCTTGGTGACCATTTTTAGTGACTAATGCCACCCATTCCCAGAACCTGTTGGCAGTGTGGGCCCCAAACTCACCTCCGGCGATGATTCTCGCACTGTCAAGGTTAAGCTTGAGGCCAGTGTAACGCTTCTGTGTCCAGCTCAGGCTTATCCAGTGCCTGTATATAGGTAATTTCAGTTACACTTCCAAGACCATCCTCTCCCAACTCAGACAATATATATACAATGTGTTTCTGATCTTAAAACATGTTCATATCTCTATAGAACCCGTTGGCAGTGTCAGTCCCAAGATAGACACTGGAGAAGATTTCAAGCATCTTAAGGGGAAGAGCACCAATGATATAGGTTTACTATGTCCTGCTCAGGCCTATCCAACGCCCTTCTTTAGGTAATTGTCTTCTCTGTTCGAGCAGTTTTCAAAATAGCTTTGACTTCTTTGGCAAAATAGTGAACCATTTGTCTTGCAGAACCCATTGGTAGTGTGAGTCCCAAGATTACCAACTCCGACGATTTAAAGCATGTCAAGGTCAAGAGATTGACTAGCCTGAGTCTTCTATGTCCGGCTCAAGCTTACCCCCAGCCCATTTCTAGGTAAATCTCTGTTCCAACATTCAATATTCAGACAGACTGAGTTGTATGCAAGTGCTTAAAGATACATAAATTTTTAGAGCCTGTAGGCAGTGTAGCGCCCAAGTTAAACTTTCTGGAGCGGTTTAAGATGATGCAGGTGCAAAGCGCCACCAGTTTCAACATTCAGTGTCCGGTTCAATCGTATCCCATGCCAGTTTTCAAGTAAGATTTCCTTTTAGTAAAGACAAACTCACATTCAGTCAGTTGCAGTGAGCATTTCCGAAACTCTGTATTCCCTTAGAACCCGTGGGCAGTGTCCGACCCAAAGTGAATCTGCAGGACAAGCACCAGTTCATAGACATGGAGCTGTCTAGTAGCTATGCCCTGCTCTGCCTGGCTCAGTCGTATCCCACGCCCTCCTTCAGGTGTGTTTCCCTCTCCCGGCAAATGTCAGACAGTTTTCCTTCATTTGTTTTGTGACTTGCTTTTGTTCGTAGAACCCGTCGGCTCCGTCAAGCCGAAAATAAATATTCAGGACAAGCTGCAGACACGCGAGATAGCCAGTGGAATCGGATTCGCTTTGCTGTGCCCGGCCCAGTCATATCCGATGCCAGCCCACAGGTGCGCGGAGCATGCCATCAATTTGGCCAACCAATTGTCCAATTTACAGGGCGTTCTCCCAATTTCATACAGTGCAATTTGAGTTATTATTCTATTAGGCCTAGGTCTCTCCCCGTTCAGGCAGCTCGCAATGTAGTTATTCGTTTGGTTTGGCCTTTAAATTCCATTCCAGAGCCAATTGGCAGTGTGCCACCCAAGGTTAGCATAGACGATGAGGTGGCCAATGCTCGCGGATATGTTGGCCGGAGCTTGAGTCTCAAGTGTCCTGCCCAGTCGTTCCCCATTCCCGCGTATAGGTAGGTGCAGGTTTCCGATATTTTCTTACCTTCCAGCATTTTGGCAGTTTTCTGGTTCAGCTTAGTGGGGTTTTGACTTTCCACATTCCTCCTAGAACCCGTGGCTTCTGTGCCTCCCAAGCTAAACCTGCTGGAAAGGGTTCGGACCATGGAGGTATCCTTGGGTGCGACTTACGCCATGCAATGTCCTGGCCAGGCCTTTCCCGTGCCCATTAATAGGTAATACTACCCCTAGCCCAACACAGGTTCAGTCTTTCTTCAGGACTTTGCCTTACAATTGAATGAATATTTCAGAACCCATTGGCTCTGTTCCGCCAAAGATCAACAACATCAACGATAAGTTTCAACTGATGCAGGTCAAGTTGGAAAGCGACTTTGCCATGCAGTGTCCAGGTCAGGCATATCCTGTGCCTGTAGTTAGGTAGGAGTCCTTCTACTTTATCCCAGAATTTAAGGCAAAGGTTCACATACTAAGGTTAACATATATTTCTTTAAATAAATAGAGCCCATTGGTTCGGTGCCACCCAAGATTACCAGTTTGCACGACAAGTTCCAAGTCTTGCAAGTGAAGCTATCGGAAGACTTTTCCATGCAGTGTCCTGGCCAAGCATATCCGGTGCCCATAGTTAGGTTAGTCCTTTAATCCTTGACCAACATTCAGGGCTTTTAAAGCAACATTCTAATAGAACTAATATCCCAAATTAGAACCCGTGGGCTCCGTGGCACCCAAAGTTGATACTCGGGATGAGTTTACCTTTGCCAGGACTCGCCAGGGAGCCTCCAAGGCGCTAATCTGTCCAGCTCAGTCGTATCCCATGCCTGTCTTTAGGTAATTGTCACATCCATCGAGACCAACACTCAGGCTCCCTGTTTAGCATCTTCTAAATTCAGCTTTTACTCTCAGAACCCGTGGGCAGTGTGGCTCCTAAAGTCGACATTAAAGACGAGATCAATTACGCCCGGGTGGCTCTGGATCGCAGTTTAGCTATAGTTTGTCCAGCCCAGTCTTATCCGGTGCCCGCATTCCGGTGAGTGCTTCGGGAATACTGTTTATCCCAACATCTAGGCAGTTTCATGATTGGCAGGACAAAAGTTAAGCATTCATTTTCGTAGAGCCTGTGGGCAGTGTGGCGCCCAAAGTGGATCCCAACGATCGAATCAAATGGGTGGATAAGCCCGGTGGCAGCTCCCTGAACTTACTCTGCCCAGCTCAGTCTTTTCCAGTGCCGGCAGCTCGGTAAGATCTGACATCTATCTCAGCCTCAAGCAGTTTTCATAAGTCAGGCACTCTCCCTCAGGGAACTCTCTATATATAAGTATGTTATTTGCAGAGCCCGTGGGCAGTGTAGCACCCAAGGTGGACGTAAAAGATCGCATCACTTGGCTGGACAAGCCTCGTGGTCAGGCCTTGAACTTGCTGTGTCCAGCTCAGTCGTATCCCATGCCAGCTTATAGGTAGGACAGTCCTTTCAGGCAGTTTTTAGTTTAAGTTCAGTACTCGAATCCATTCGTTTCTTTCTGAAACTATTGCAGAACCCGTGGGCAGTGTGGCCCGAAGGTTGATATGCATGATAAGATGGATTTTACCATACGAAATTCGAACCGCTCTTTGAATTTGTTCTGCAAAGCTCAGGGATATCCCATGCCAGCGTTTAGGTAATCACATTGTTGAGTGCCATCCATTAAATCGGGCTTAGTTAGGTTTAGAGATACAAGAAGATTTCCTTTTCAGAGCCCGTGGGCAGTGTGGCTCCCAAAGTTGATATGGAGGATAAATTTGGTGTATCTATAAGGAAGTCGAATAATTCGTTGAACTTGCTTTGCAAGGCTCAGGGTTATCCCATGCCAGCGTTTAGGTAAATACATTGTTGAGTGCCTTCCAGCAAATCAGGTGAAATGTTTTTTGTTAAGAAAAGTTCAAAGTTTGAAAATCTTTTGCAGAGCCCGTTGGCAGTGTGGCTCCTAAAGTGGAAATTAAAGATAAATTAGGCATATTTGTGGCCAAGTCCAATCGATCTATGGCCCTGCTTTGTCCAGCCCAGGCATATCCAATGCCAGCTTATAGGTAAAGTCTAGTACCAAACTCGCATTCAGACAGTTTCCTCATAGCATAGTGAACTAATTAGAAAACTATCTCATCAGAGCCCATTGGAAGTGTTGCTCCTCGGGTGAATCGAAAGGATGAGTTCAATCACGACCGCATTAGGAGCTCTCAGACCATAGCCATACAGTGTCCTGCCCAGTCTTATCCGGTTCCGGTTTATAGGTAATGTCGAGTGCTCAGGTCCCTTCAATTAGTAACATGGGTAGCTCTCACATAAACCGAACTCCTTTTCAGAGCCTGTCGGAAGTGTGGCTCCAAAGGTAAACAAGAACGACGAGTTCAGTCATGACCGGATTGCCGTTGGCGGAATTGTGGCACTTCGTTGTCCTGCTCAGTCCTTTCCGGTGCCATTTTATAGGTGCGTCAATGTCGAGTTCTATATTCCGTCCAGGGCTTAGGCAGTTTCTGAATATTTCCCCTTAAACCCCAATACCCATATTTCATATTCCAGAGCCTGTGGGCAGCGTGGCACCGCGTGTCAATAAGAAGGACGGCTTTAGCCACGACAGCATCCATCGCGGCCAGACAATAGCCATTTTCTGTCCTGCCCAGGCCTACCCCGTGCCCTTCTATAGGTAATGCGTGCGGCATGTCCAAAGTTTTCCAATTACAAACGAGCCGAGATTAAGTCGTCAGGCCTCATTGGCCTCAAACTCTAATTAGCTTAGTGTCCACAACTGCCACCCAATTTAACCCATTCATTGTCACGCAACCCTTGCCCTTTGACCGAGTTAGTTGAGTGGCAGGTAATTCCTATTGTTGTCGAGCAACTTTGGCAGTTTTCAATGTTAGTCCAGGCTCTCTCCCAGGTTCTAACTCCTTCTTGTTTGCTCGCAGAGCCTGTGGGCAGTGTGCCACCCAAGATCAGTGTGGGTGAGCGGCGCAAGGATGCCGAGGTGCCTCTAGGTGAAGACTTGAGCATCTTTTGTCCAGCACAATCTTATCCAGTTCCCGCATTCAGGTAGGATTCCCCCCCCCCAGGCAGTTTTCATTAGGACGATTTTGGGTGTAGTCTTACATAATGGTTATCTTCCAGAACCGGTGGCTAGTGTTGGTCCCAAAATTAGTGTGGGCGAGCGACTCAGAGATGCTGGAGCTGCGTCCCAGTCCACTCTGACGCTCTTTTGCCCAGCCCAATCGTATCCAGTGCCTTCGTTTAGGTAATTGAAGATCATTCAGGCAGTTATAAAAATTATACTAAAAGTTATGAATTAGAAACTAGGTCTTAATTTTCACATTTTTCTTAGAACCCGTGGGCAGTGTGGCGCCCAAGATCAGTGTCGAGAATCGTCTGAAGAATGCCGAGGCTAGTCTGGCTTCTAGTTTTACTCTCTTCTGTCCTGGTCAGGCATATCCTGTGCCCTTCTTTAGGTAACCCCTATCCTTATCCTTTTTGGGCAGTTTTCAGTTTGATTTATTTTCAATATTAATTCCGCATAAATTCCAATAACTTATAGAGCCTGTTGGTAGTGTGGCACCAAAACTGACTTCCGGTGATAAGACCCGCAATGTGGACATAAACTCAAGCGGCAGTGTGACCCTACTTTGTCCTGCCCAAGCATATCCGGTTCCGTTTTTCAGGTGATTGTTTATAGACATTCGGGCAGTTTTTAATCGAATTTTGAATTCGTTTTTGGAGTAAGATTGGTTGATTTTTTCAGAACCTATTAGTGGGTCTGCTCCCAGAGTAGCACTTATTCAAAAAACGAATATTGATTATGTGCGTCAGGGCGGAACCGTGGCCATAATGTGTCCAGCTCAGGGTTTTCCTGTGCCAGCTTTTAGGTGAGACCCAACATTCAGGGAGCTTTCATTATCTAATTTCTGAAACTAATACATAATGTTCGTTCAATCTAAAATATGTAGAACCTATTAGCAGTACGGTGCCCAAAGTAGTTCCACTGGCAAAATTCGATATGAAAACCTATGCGGGCTCCTCGACCTTGGCTCTTCTTTGTCCAGCTCAGGGTTATCCAGTGCCGGTGTTTAGGTAAACTTTAGGAAATAAATAACACATTCAAGCAGTTTCAGGTTCTAGTTAGAAAGGTTTTTCATTCATTTTTGTTTTTATAGAGCCCGTTTCAAGCACCGCTCCCAAGGTGCCACCTTTGCAGTCCCGACCTCTGGTAGTTCCTGGGCACACCGATGTCTCCATCTTGTGTCCTGCCCAGGGCTATCCTGCACCCAGTTTTAGGTTGGTTCTCTAAAGATAAAATATGTGAAATATTTTATAGAACTAATTACTGTGTTAAATAGGACTCGCTCTTATTCTGGGACTCCAACATTCTTGCAGTTTTATACTATTCCAAGCCTGAGTTTTAATATTCTGAAAATAAATGTACGATTTTATAGAACCCATCAGCAGTAGTCCGCCAAAGATAAACGCTCTGACCTATAAGCCCAATGTGGTGGATTCCACAGCCACCACCGCTATACTCTGTCCAGCGCAGGGTTATCCAGCTCCCAGCTTCAGGTGGGTTCTGTGGCTATCCCTAGACCAACATCAGGCACTAGTTCAGTTGTTTTCTATAAAACTTATCTAAATACAATATTCACAGAACCTATTTCAAGTACCGCTCCCAGAACTCCTGAGTTAGTGCAAAAACCTCTGGAGCTATTAGAGTCGCTCTCAATATAATTGCTGTGTCCTGCCCAGGGATTTCCGGCTCCTAGTTTTCGGTAAGCCGAAACAAGCATTCAGGCGGGAATTAAGATTCTTTTACTGTTTTGACCCTATAGAACCTGTCGGTGGCAAAGCCCCAACGTTACTCTCTAATGACATCAAGAGGTCGTGGATTGACCGGATGCTGGCCACCAATTTGGCTTTGTTTTGTCCCGCCCAGGGATTTCCGGTGCCTGCTTTTAGGTTAGAATATAATGCTATAGGAATTTATATGTTTTTATATTTCTTATCTTTTGAAGTGAAATGATTGTGAAAGGGTAAAAATATATCAATCACACTTGGAATCTATTTAATGTCCCGAAAATTCCTTTTTTTCCTTAGGAAATTTTATTCTTCATTAACTTGTTGCATACCCTCATCCCACATTCCACAAATGCACAGGAAAAAAATAATTAGGAAAATGGGGGTCAATTTTCGGTCAGGTTTTCTATAAAAATAAATATATATTCAATTTTTATATTTTAATGATAAAAATTGAAACTTTTATATTATAAAATGTGCAGTTTTTATGCATTATGAAATTTTATATGTATTCATATTAGGGATTACCAAATTCCTCAATTCTTTGAAAATGTAGAAATTCTCAATTCTCTTTTAAAATCAGATTTTTTTGGAATAGTTAACCTATGAACGAAATTTAAATGAAATTATTATTTTTCTGTGCATCTGTGAGAGAAGAACAAAGAATTTCACTTTCCCTTCCTCAGAGCCTGTTTCGTCCAAGGCCCCCGTTCTTTCGGTGGACACCAAGTGGTCCGGCATCGAGAGGCGCTGCGGCATGGACATCGTGCTGCTGTGTCCCGCTCAGGCATTTCCGGTTCCCGTCAGCAGGTTAGGGACCCCAAGAAACGTGACTTTAATTATTCACAAGCATAGACAAGGGGACTCCCCCCAAGTTCATTCATAAAAAAATAGGCGAACACCCACACAAACTCACACGTGTATGGGCGCACGCACAAAAGTAAGCTACGTAAACAAACCATAAACAGGGCGAAATCGGAAGGCATGAAAATCGGTAAACATACACTCTCACATGTGGGTGGTGCTGCCTCTCTCTCTCTCTCGGTTCTCCCTTCTGCGTTGGTGTGCGTGTGAGAGATGTAAACAAACTGGTTTGCTCTCTGTCGTGCTCTCCCGCTCTCACTGCGCACACTCGCAATCCACACGAAATTTCCCAAACAATTACCCCTCCGTGGTGGGTGTGGATTGCATTTGTCCCGCTCGCACACCGGCTGATGAATGAACGCACGTTTCTGGGTCAAAAGCCGCCGGTTTGTGCCACTTTCCGGTGGTCAAACCGGCAGCAGCGACCTCCACTTGTTGCACGCTCAGCTGTCGCTTGAGCTGGAGCTTCTGCGCATGTCTCTGGCCTTAACATTGACCCCGACCTCCATGGAGTTTGCATTGCTTAATACTAAGCCACTGTCTCCCTCTCTTTCTCCGTATCTGTGTGCAAAGTTTGCCAGCAGGTTAAGGTCGCGGGGTCAGGCTAGGGTTGCCAGGTCACGTGCCACCTCGCAGCGAAAGTTTTGTTATTCGAAATCGAGCAGAAAGTATCTCCACATTCAGCCAGTGCATTTTGTCTGGGCTAAAAGTTATCAAGAGATTAATTTCACTTTCAGAGCCCGTTGGCGCCAAAGCTCCGACCTTTTCTCTAGAGTACAAGCTCATCGAGGTGGAGAGGTCAAGGGGCTCGGCCCTCGCCCTGCTCTGCCGGGCCCAAGCCTTCCCAGTGCCCATCATCAGGTGATTAATTAATTTCAGTCTATAAGAGTTAGGAGCACCTTGGCCAACTTTCAAAGCAGTTTTCATTTGTTGAAAAATACTACATACTTTGTGAATATATTAAGCTTAATTTGCTTGATTAAACTTGTATAAACTTATGTTCTTGATTCTGTAGAACCCATTGGTTCCAAGGCTCCCGCAGTGCCCACCGGTGTAATGGTCTTCCAACAAGCTGTGCCCTTGCATACCACTTTCGCCATGCTCTGCCAGGCTCAGGCATTTCCAGTGCCAGTTTTTAGGTAAAAACAAAAAAACATAATATCAGAGAGTTATTAGCTGGACCTTTTAAGATCCTTAAAGTACTAAAATCCATCAGCTGGGAAATGTTTATGAAGAAGTTCTTACCTCTCAAAACATGTTATTTTAAGTGTTTATATATATTTGAAAATTAGAAACAATTTGTTGCTAAAACAACAAGCCCCAATGTTCAGTCAGTTCTTAATGCGATAATTATATAAAATCGAAACTGAATAACTATAAATCTCCCCTTTTTAGAGCCCGTTGGGTTCAAGGCTCCTAGTTTTCCCAGTGTGGCCTCAACATTTACCATACAAACGGCTCAAAAGAGCGAAGTGGCTCTGACCTGTCAGGCTCAATCCTATCCTGTGCCCATATTTAGGTAATAAAAACTTATTTTTTCCACTGCTCATCTGGTTCTGTGTAGGGTTTTTAAAAACACTAGTATTTAGTAGCAAAATTAAGCACAAATATTTATTTATTTTAGAGCCTGTTGGTGCCAAGGCTCCCACCTTTTCGAGTGACTCCAAGGGTAGCATATTCGAGCGCTCGATTAGTGCCAGCTTTGCCCTGCTGTGTCAGGCTCAGGCCTTCCCCGTTCCCATCATTAGGCAAGTTTTAGGCAATATTTAGTATATTAAACCCTCTGAATGCCTTGCAGAACCCATTGGGGCCAGAGCTCCAACATTCTCTACCGATTCTAATTCGTTTTCATACACACGGTCTGTGGGACAAAGTTTTGCTTTGCTCTGCCAGGCTCAGGCGTATCCTGTCCCAATCATGAGGTTAGGAAACTTTCTGTATCCCATGTCCTATATTCAGGCAGTTTTATTACAGATAAATTTACTCATATCATTATTTTCAGAACCCATTGGTGCTAGGGCTCCTACATTTTCAACAGATTCGAATATATTTTCTTATACAAGACCCGTGGGTCACAGCTTTGCTCTATTGTGCCAGGCTCAAGCCTATCCAGTCCCCTTAATGAGGTAGTCTATTGGTCAATAATCTATTCCATTCAGGCAGTTTGTCATTTAATTTCCTAGGGGAGTCTTTTAAATACATTTAATTTGACTTACAGAGCCGGTAGGTGCCAAGGCTCCCACATTTGCTAGTGTCTCTAAGATATCCAGTTTACTCGGCCCCAGTTCGAGTGATATTGTGTTGCTGTGTCAGGCTCAGGCATTTCCAGTGCCCTATGTGAGGTAATTCTCAAAAAGTCAGGCAGTTTACTCCGTGTCTATATATTTTCTCAGAACCCGTCAGTGCCAAAGGTCCTACCTTTGCCTCCGATATGAAAAGCTATACCTTTGTACGTCACTTTGGTCAGAGTTTTGCTTTGCTCTGCCAGGCGCAAGCCTATCCAATTCCTCTGATAAGGTAGTCATTTACTTAATTTAAGATGTATCCCACCCTAAAAAACATCTAAACCCCATTATTATATATATTTTTTTAGAGCCAGTTGGTGCCAAAGCTCCCACCTTCTCTGGCGAGTCCAAGAGTTTCACATTTGTCAAAGAGATTTCGACTAGTTTTGCTTTGCTCTGCCAGGCGCAGGCATTTCCAGTACCCATAATAAGGTTAGTCGAATATTCATTCAGGCAGTTTTCCATGCTCAGATTTGATATACATATATAGTATATGAGACAACAATTTACAGAACCCGTGGGTAGTGTGGCCCCAAAAATATCTGGCGGTCGCCTTCAGGAAATGACAAGATCGTCGACAACAGATTTGGCCATCTTGTGCCTGGGACAATCGTTTCCCACACCAGCTTTTAGGTAATGTCAGGATCATCTATTAGTCTCAACATTCAGGCAGTTATACTTAGGTATATTCAGTGATGAGACTTCATAGAACATCGCTTTCTTTCAGAGCCCATTGGGAGTGTAGCTCCCACAATATCAGGCGATCGCCTCCAGGAGCAGACCCAGAAATTGGGTCACAGTTTCTCCATTCTCTGCCAGGGTCAAGCCTATCCTCATCCAGTGTTTAGGTACATAAGTATAGTTGTTGGTATTATCCTTCAGGCAGTTTTATCTAATGGGAATGCAAGTCTTTGAGACTTCCAAATTCTTAAATTACAGAGCCCGTTGGCTTAGTTAAGCCCCGCATTTCCGTCAAGAGCATTGAGATCAACGAAGTGCCCTTAGGTGGTACCTTTGTTGGTCATTGTCCTGGACAGGGTTATCCAGTGCCGGTTTATAGGTAGTCAGCTAGATACATTCCCCCACGTTAGGTTGCCGTCAGGTTACTCCCAAAACCCCCAAAAGTGGTGCACAGAATGAGCAAATGAAAAAATTAATTAATACTGAGAGGTAAGTAAGATCCATCACCATGCCAGGCAAAGGTAAGTAGTTCAAGGATTATAACGATTTTATCAATTAAACTTGCTCACTCTGTGCCCACTGTCCCCAATGCCAAATTTGACCCTATGAACTTCCATTAACCCAATTTACTCTCGTTCCAGATGGTACAAGTTCATCGAAGGCACTACCCGCAAGCAGGCAGTAGTTTTGAATGATCGCGTAAAACAGGTTTCCGGCACTCTCATCATCAAGGACGCCGTGGTAGAGGACTCCGGCAAGTACCTGTGCGTGGTCAACAACTCTGTGGGTGGCGAGAGCGTTGAGACCGTGCTCACAGTCACTGCTCCATTGTCCGCCAAGATTGATCCCCCCACTCAGACGGTTGACTTTGGACGCCCTGCGGTATTCACCTGCCAGTACACTGGAAATCCCATCAAGACTGTTAGCTGGATGAAGGACGGAAAGGCCATTGGTCACAGCGAACCTGTGCTGCGTATTGAATCCGTAAAGAAGGAGGATAAGGGCATGTATCAGTGCTTCGTAAGGAATGACCAGGAATCGGCGGAGGCCAGTGCTGAGCTGAAGCTTGGCGGTCGCTTCGACCCACCCGTCATCCGACAGGCCTTCCAGGAAGAAACCATGGAGCCAGGACCAAGTGTGTTCCTCAAGTGCGTCGCCGGAGGCAACCCCACACCTGAAATTTCCTGGGAACTCGATGGCAAGAAGATAGCCAACAACGATCGCTATCAGGTTGGACAGTATGTGACGGTCAACGGCGATGTGGTTTCCTATCTGAATATTACCTCGGTTCATGCTAACGATGGTGGTCTGTACAAGTGCATTGCCAAGAGCAAGGTGGGTGTGGCTGATCACTCTGCCAAGTTGAATGTCTACGGTCTGCCCTACATCCGGCAAATGGAGAAAAAGGCCATTGTGGCAGGCGAGACTCTGATAGTAACCTGTCCAGTTGCCGGCTATCCCATCGATTCGATTGTTTGGGAGCGAGGTGAGTAGAGAAGGTCATGAAGTTGGATGTAACCCATACCTTACATTTTCTCATCATAGATAACCGTGCCCTGCCCATCAACCGCAAACAAAAGGTCTTCCCCAATGGAACACTGATCATTGAGAACGTTGAGCGCAACTCGGACCAGGCAACGTACACGTGCGTGGCCAAGAACCAGGAGGGATACTCTGCCCGCGGCTCTCTGGAAGTTCAAGTCATGGGTAAGTCGAAGATTCCAGCTCATTCCCAGACTCCTCCAATTATGGAGTGAGCTCTGGTCGATGCCACTCTTTTTGGGCGGGTCTTTAGGTTTCAGCCTCAACGTTGGTCGCTAGCTTCACTTTCAATCGATGAACTCGACCCAAAACCCTTTGCTCAGTTCCGCCACAGGTCGTTCCCTTTGATTTTGGGGAGGAGACCATCAACATGAACGACATGGTATCGGCCACCTGTACGGTTAACAAGGGCGACACCCCCCTGGAGCTGTACTGGACAACAGCGCCTGATCCCACCACGGGAGTGGGTCGCCTGATGTCCAACGATGGCATCCTCATCACCAAGACCACGCAGCGCATCAGCATGCTCAGCATTGAGTCCGTGCATGCACGTCATCGGGCCAACTACACGTGTGTGGCCAGGAACGCGGCCGGGGTTATTTACCACACGGCGGAGTTGCGGGTCAACGGTTCGCTCCTTGCACTTGAGTCGTAGTTTGCTTAGTCCTTTGGTTTTTGAGTTTCGTTTCCTTGATACCGTCCCCTCCTCGCTCCCCCTCGCAGTGCTGCCACAGATCGTGCCCTTTGATTTTGGCGAGGAGAGCGTCAATGAGCTGGACATGGTCTCAGCATCCTGTACGGTTAACAAGGGCGACCTGCCCATCGATGTGGCCTGGACGAAGAACGGCGGTCGCGTCTACACCAACGATGGCATAGTGGTGACCAAGACCAGCACTCGCATGAGTGTCCTGAGCATTGAGTCCGTGAGGGCCCGACATGCTGGCAACTATACCTGTGTGGCCACTAATAATGCGGGCGAGACCCGGCACTGGGCCATTCTGGCCGTCAATGGTTAATAGGCCTCCATCTGTTCTATCTTTGCCAAAGACACTTTGCTTTTGCTTTGATTTGCTTTCTGTTCTGTTAACCCAACCCCATCCCAGTCTTGCCCCAGGTCGTGCCCTTTGACTTTGGCGAGGAGTCCATCAACGAGTTGGACATGGTTTCGGCCTCCTGCACGGTTAACAAGGGCGATCTGCCCGTCGACATATATTGGACGAAGAACGGCGGTCGTGTATACACCAACGATGGTCTGATTGTGACCAGGAACAGTCAGCGCCTGAGTGTTCTGAGCATCGAATCCGTGAGGGCTCGGCATGCGGGAAACTACTCCTGTGTGGCCACCAACAATGCCGGAGCCATCACTCAATCCGCCATGCTGGCAGTCAATGGTTATTGCTCATCGTACTTGAAGCTGTTTTCTTAAGTTTTCCTTGTCTTGTTTTTGCTTCCCACTTTACCTACCTCAACTACCCAGTCCTGCCCCAAATAATGCCCTTCGATTTCGGTGAGGATGTGATCAACGAGTTGGACATGGTGTCAGCCTATTGCACCGTCAATCGTGGAGATCTACCCGTGGACATAGCCTGGACCAAGAACGGCGGCCGAGTGTACACCAACGACGGGCTAATAGTGACCAGGAATAGTCAACGCATCAGCGTTCTGAGCATCGAATCCGTGAGGGCTCGTCACGCGGGAAACTACTCCTGTGTGGCCACCAACAATGCTGGGGAGACGAGACAGTCCGCCATCCTGGCTGTGAATGGTTAAGCGCTTAGGATTCCACATATCGGTTTTATTTTTCTTAGATTTTCATTTAGTTTTCGTCCTTATTCCACTTCCCTGCTGCACAGTTCCTCCCTCGATTGCTCCCTTTTCCTTCGGCGATGATCCCGTGAATACTGGCGAGAACGCCGGTGTCCAGTGCATGGTACAGAAGGGCGATGTACCCATAACAATCAAATGGACGCTCAATTCGCGACCGATCATCAATGGGGAGGAGGGAATAACCATTCTGAAATTGTCTCCCAAGACAAGTGTCTTGAATATAGCCGCCGTCGAGCAGCATCATCGCGGGTCATTCAAGTGCATAGCCGAGAACAAGGCGGGATCTAGCTTCACCACATCGGAGCTGAAGGTCAACGGTACACGACCCCATTCAACGCACTTTGGCCTTTTGTATTTTTAGTTGTATATTTTTATTTTTATTTAATCCTTTTGACACCTGCAGTGCCTCCCCAAGTATCGCCCTTCCATTTCGGCAGCGAAGTATTGAATATGGGTGATGTTCTGAGCATTACCTGTGTGGTCCTCAAGGGTGACTTGCCCCTGCAGATCCATTGGACTCTGAATGGTGAATCTGTAAAGACAGGTGTGGATGGATTCACGGTGATGCAGCTCAATACGCGTACCAGCTATCTAAGTGTGGATTCTTTGGAGGCCAAGCACCGCGGCAACTACAGCTGCGTGGCCCAGAATTTGGCGGGTCGAGCGATCTATTCCGCTGAGCTGCAAGTGAATGGTTGGTGATCTTCGGGATGTTAAAAGCTACTTTTCCGCCTCTCTGTAGCTCTGTCTTACTAACAAGATTCTGGTTTATTTGGTCATAAGGAGCTAATGGTGTCCCCTCCTATATAGTTGCCCCACAGATCAGTCCCTTCTCATTTGGCGATGAGCCATTGAACCGTGGAGAGGTTGCCAGTGTAAACTGTGTGGTTCCAAAGGGTGACCTACCCCTAGACATCTATTGGACTCTGAACTCTGCTCTCATTGTCAATGGTGAACTGGGCTTCACGCTGGTGAGGCTGAATAAGCGGACAAGTTCACTGAACGTGGACTCCTTGGAGGCTCTGCATCGAGGCACTTACAAGTGCCTGGCGAACAATTCAGCGGGCTACGCCGAATACGTGTCCACACTAGATGTGAACGGTTTGTTCCGACTCGTCTTTAGTTTTGAAAGTTCTTTAAGTTTGTAGAAATTCCTTTGGCTTTTATTTTGATTTCCTTCGTCTTTGTTTCTCATCAAGTCCCTCCACAAATCCAACCCTTTGACTTTGGCGTTGAGCCAGCCAATACTGGGGAAATGGCCGGTGGCTTCTGCATGGTGCCCAAGGGTGACCTTCCCATGGAGATTCGCTGGACTCTAAACTCGGCGCCAATAATTACGGGCGAGCATGGCTTTTCCCTGTCGCGCCTGAATCCGCGCACCAGCTCCTTGAGCATTGATTCCCTGGAAGCCAGACATCGCGGACTGTATAGGTGCATCGCTAGCAACAAGGCGGGCAGTTCTGAATATAGCGCCGAACTGCACGTGAATGGTCAATACACTTATTATACTCATAGTTAATTGATTGATTTCGTTATTATTTTGATTTTAATTGTTTGCCACTCACTCCCCGTACTCCCACAAGTGCCGCCCCAGGTTCTGCCCTTTAGTTTCGGAGAATCCGCCGCCGATGTGGGCGACATAGCCAGTGCCAATTGTGTGGTGCCTAAGGGAGATCTGCCCCTGGAGATTCGCTGGTCCCTCAATGCAGCCCTAATTGTGAACGGGGAGAATGGTTTCACCCTGGTGCGTCTGAATAAGCGCACGAGTCTGCTGAACATTGATTCACTGAATGCCTTCCATCGCGGCGTCTACAAGTGCATAGCAACGAATGAGGCCGGCTCCAGTGAATATATAGCCGAGTTGCAAGTCAACGGTGGGTTCTTCTCACTAAAAGTATCTATAAATCATCATAAGAGCACGCTTAACTAGTTAACACTATTGATATTGTCTCCACTGAGTGTTGTTGGTGTCTAGTGTTGGAGCACTTGAGCTGAGAATAAATCTGAGTCGAGTTAGGGCCTAGAAGTGTACCAGTTTTTACCAAGTTGTGAGAAAAGATTAAGTTAGAGATCTCCCCTATTTGCGTCTAGTTCCCCCTCAAGTCATGCCCTTTATGTTTGGTGAGGAACCCTCCAACTACGGCGACAGTACGGCGGTTCAGTGTATGGTCTTCAAGGGAGACACGCCACTTCAGCTGCACTGGACTCTCAATGGGCAGCCCATCACCAACGAACATGTCGGAATCCGGATCATCAAAATGTCACCCAAACTGAGTTCCCTGAGCATCGACCCCATCAGTGGCCATCACCGGGGGCTGTTCAAGTGCATTGCCACCAATGCAGCTGGGATTACCGAGCAGAGCGCCGAGCTGCTGGTCAATGGTTAATATCGGAAATTGTGATTTCAAGTTCTGAGTTCTTTTCTGTTTGTTTCTCCCGTTACCCGTTCTCCAACCCCAACGTCCAGTGCCGCCTCAAATCCGACCCTTTGACTTTGGCGACGAGGCCTCAAACTCTGGCGAGACCATGGGCATCCAGTGCACCGTGATCAAGGGGGATCTGCCCATCAATATCACCTGGGCCCTCGATAATCGCATCCTGAATAGCGGGGACCTGGAAGTGGTGATCGGTCGCATGTCCAGCAAGTCGAGCACCTTGAATATCGACTATATAGCCGCCGAGCACCGCGGGGTCTACACCTGTCTGGCTCGGAATCAGGCGGGCGAAAGCAGCTACAGTGCCGAGCTGAAAGTCAATGGTTACTGTGCCCCCTGATCCCTTAATTAGTAGCTAAGACTTGTCTTTGATTTATGTGATGCTTGATTTAAACAATAACTCCAAACCCATTACCCATCCCAGTCCTGCCCAGCATACACCCGTTTAGCTTCGATGGGGAGGCCAATGAGGGCGACAGCGTCCAGTTGACCTGCCACGTGGCCAAGGGGGATCTTCCGCTGAGAATTCGCTGGACTCACAACGGGCTGCCACTCTTTACGCACCTGGGCGTGATGGCCAGCAAGATTGGGGAGCGGATTACCATGCTCACGGTGGAGTCGGTCAAGGCGGCCAATTCTGGGAACTACAGCTGTGTGGCCAGCAACAGTGCCGGCAATGTGACTTATACCGCCGAGCTGCTCGTCAATGGTTACTGACTCAACTCCGTAGAGACCTAGCTTACGTTACTGTTCTGTTGATTGAGATTATTTGACACCCAGCCCAATCCTCCCACTCACTTCCCAGTTCTGCCCCAAATCGTACCCTTTGCCTACGAGGATGTGATCAACATGGGTGACTCGATCGACCTCTTCTGCCAAATCCAGAAGGGTGACCGCCCCGTCAAGGTTACCTGGAGCTTCGAGCGCAGCGCCGGAGACTCCGGCTTTGACCAACTGCAGCCGCAGATGCGCACGAATCGCATTAGCGGGAAGACGAGCATGCTGTCCATCCCCAGCGCCAGTCCGGCGCACACGGGACGCTACTCCTGCATAGCCAGCAATGCGGCTGGAACGACCACCTATAGCGTCGATCTGACAGTGAATGGTACTAGAACAGATCGCCTAGTCTAGTCTTTAATGGTTTCGGTTCTCGTCTTGAAAGTCTTGAAAGTATGCGTTGCTACTAATCTAACCCATCTCTTTAACCCCATCTGTCTAACTGAGCTTGTGTGGTTTACTGCGGACTGTTCTTTGCACCTTGGACTTATCGATTTGGTATTTATTTCTGCTTCCCAAGTTGCCCCAAAGATAGCATCCTTTGACTTTGGGGAGGAGCCCCTGAATTACGGAGAACCTGCATCCGTGCAGTGCACCATTTTGGGTGGTGACCTGCCCATTAATGTTACCTGGCTGCTGAACAATGCCACCATCGATAGCTACCATGATATATCCTTCTCGCGGATCGGCAAGCGGATTAATGTGCTCTCCATTGAGTCTGTGTCCGCCCATCATGCCGGATTTTACTCCTGTCATGCGCAAAACAAGGCGGGCATCACGGCTCATTCTGCTCAACTGATTGTCAACGGTTAGCTAGAGAGAGCAAGTTATAATTAGATCTAAGTTTTACCATTTTTGATTTATTTTCATTGATTAAAAACAACCCTTTAAACCCCTTAGTTATGCCAAAAATAAATCCCTTCTCCTTTGGGGAGGAGTCCATGAGCTATGGCGAGTTTGTGAATGTTCAGTGCACCATATCGGGGGGAGATCTTCCCGTGAATATAACCTGGACTCTAAACGACCGACCCTTTGAGGACTACCTAGAGATACTGACCACCAAGCGGGGCAAACGCATCAACGAACTGACCATCGAGGCGGTGTCAGCCAAGCATGCAGGGAACTACTCCTGCATAGCCGAGAATAGAGCTGGTCGTGCCAACCACACGGCCGAGCTGAAAGTGAACGGTTAATGGTCCTTCTTTAAGTATAAAGTTGATTAATTTTTGTTGTTGTCTTTTTGTTTACTCCTCTGACCCCCTTACAAACTCATACTATCCCCAAAACCAGTGGCTCCCAAAATAGCTCCGTTTGATTTCGGAGACGAACCCTCGAACTTTGGTGAATCCGCCAGCGTCCAGTGTCTGGTCACCTCGGGTGACTTTCCCGTCAGCTTTGCGTGGTTCTTCAATGGCCGCGAGATTAGTGAGAATGTCTACGATGTGTCCATGGTCAAGTTGGGCAAGAAGATCAGCGCTTTGTCCATAGATTTTGTACGCGATCACCATGCCGGGAACTACACTTGTGTGGCTGTGAATAGGGCCACCTCTGTCAACTTTACGGCCGAACTGGTGGTGAACGGTACTGCCAGCAACGTTTTGAAACCGCGATGCATGCAATTTTCTGATTTTCTGTTTTTATTTTTCAACTTTCCCCTTACCTCTTCCTTAAACAAGTGCCCCCGAAAATCGCACCCTTTGACTTTGGCGATCACGCCGTAAACTTTGAGGAATCCGTTTCTGTGAATTGTCTCATCTACCTGGGCGATCTGCCCATGGATATCACCTGGTTGTTCAACGGGGCCCATGTCAGCGCCTATACTGGAGTATCTATAGTCAAGGGTGGCAAGAAGGCGAGCATCCTGACGATAGACTCGGTCCATGCAGGACACGCAGGGAACTACACATGCAAGGCGCGCAATGATGCAGCCTCTGCTGAGTACACGGCCGCACTGGTTGTAAATGGTATTGGAAGAGGACTTTATATAACCGGTTTAAGAGAGCTTTGTGTTTCATTATGATTTCAATCCCTGATTTAAATCCCTTTCCCCATGCAGCCCCTCCCAAAATAGCTCCCTTTGACTTTGGCCAGTCTCCGTCCAACTTTGAAGACTCCGTTTCGGTCAACTGTTTGGTCACCTCTGGTGATCTGCCCATCGACATTGAGTGGTTGTTCGGCGGGGAGCCCATCAATTTTTCCACTGGCATCGCGGTCTTGCGCGGAGGAAAGCGAACCAGCCTGCTGACCATCGACTCTGTGCACGCGGGACACGCCGGAAACTACTCCTGCAAGGCGAGGAATAAGGCGGCCAGCAGCGAGTACTCAGCGGCCCTGGTTGTAAACGGTTGGCGGGGGACATTAAGCTCTTTTACTTCAAAGTTTCTTCTGATGTCTTAATTATCATTATTTACTCCCATCCTTCCCTTGAACTAAGCTCCGCCAAAAATCACACCCTTTAGCTTCGGCGAGGAGCCGGCCAATGTGGAGGACTCCGTGTCGGTGACCTGTCTCATCTCTACTGGGGACTTACCCATCGATATTGAATGGTTATTTAATGACTTTGGAATTAGCTCCTATTCGGGAATTTCGGTTGTGAAAGGAGGCAAGCGAAACAGTGTCTTGAGCATCGACAGTGTCCAGGCTCGGCATGCGGGACAGTATAGTTGTCGGGCCAAGAATCACGCTGCCGCTGTGAACTACACCACCGAGTTAATCGTGAATGGTATTACGTATTCGAGTCTAGCTATATGAGTTCAAGTGATTTGTTTTAGTTCATTACTATTAGTTATCTCTTTGGTTGTGTCACATATCACACTTTTCTCCTCCCCTTAAGTTGCCCCGAAGATTACACCCTTTGATTTCGGAGATGAGCCCACCAATGTGGAGGATTCCGTTTCCGTGACTTGTCTCATATCCAGCGGAGATTTACCCATCGACATTGAGTGGTTGTTTAACGATTTCGGTATCAGTTCTTACTCTGGCATCACGGTTGTAAAGGGTGGCAAACGAAGCAGTGTTTTGGGCATCGACAATGTCCAGGCTCGACATGCGGGAAGGTACAGCTGTCGGGCCAAGAATCATGCGGCTGCAGTGAACTACACCACCGACCTAGTTGTGAATGGTATTTTCAGCTAGCTTTAAGTAGATTTAAATAGATGCTTTCTCAGTTACATTTCCATTTTAATAAGTCATATTCTTTTAAGTCCCTCCCAAAATCACACCTTTTACCTTCGGCGAGGAGCCCACGAATGTGGAGGACTCTGTGTCTGTCACCTGCCTGATTTCGAGCGGAGACCTACCCATCGATATAGAATGGTTGTTCAACGACTACGGAATCAGTTCCTATTCAGGAATGACTGTTCTCCGAGGTGGCAAGCGTACCAGCATGCTGACCATTGACAATGTCCATGCTCGTCATGCGGGGAAGTATAGTTGTCAGGCCAAAAATCATGCTGCGGCTGTTAATTACACTACAGAACTAATTGTGAATGGTATAGGGTATTTTTCTAGAATAATTAAGTTATTTCCATTTCCTTTAGTTAAAAGTTTGAATTCATTTATGTCGTTTTATTGTTACTTCCAAAGTTCCCCCAAAGATTACTCCCTTTGACTTTGGCGAGGAGCCCACAAACGTTGAGGATTCCGTCTCGGTAACTTGCCTC